GAGATGGGTTTCCATGGTTCTGGCTGACTTTTAATTTGTCATAGAGTCTAAGCTAGCCTTGAACTCATGATCCCCCTGCCTTTGAGTTTGTGGTTTGTTTTTTGAGACAAGGTTTCTCTGTGTGGCCCCTGGCTGTTCTGGAACTCCTTAGACCAGGCTGGCCTGGAACCCAAAGAAAGATCCACCGGCCTCCGGCTCCCACCCTCCATCCCTCATACCCCCACCCCCACCCCAGGTGCTGGGGTCAAAGGCATGCACCACTACCACCCAGCTGTGCTTCTGATTCCTGAGGGCTGTGGTGAGGCCAGCACCCTTAGATTCCTTCTCTGCCTCTCTCTGCTTGTGACCATTTCTCTTCCTATTGGTGGGTTTCTCCCACATGGCAGAAAGCAAGGCTGCTGACACTTCAGAGTCCCCTGACTCACTATGTTCACTGATGATTGAGCCTTGTTCTCTCTCTTTTGATCTTTCTTTCAAATATCTCGGGGAAGAGAGACAGCAAAATGGCTCTGTGGGTAAGGGTTCTTATTGCCAAGACTGACACCTGAGTTCATTCCTGAGGGAGAAAACAGATTCTTATAAGTTGCCCTCTGGCCTCCACACATGCACTGTGGTACACATGTGCCCCCTCCCAACAAATGCAATTAAAAAAAAAAAAAAAACAATTTTAAGGGCTGGAGAGATGGCTCAGTGGTTATGAGCACTACCTGCTCTTCCAAAGGTCCTGAGTTCAATTCCCAGCAACCACATGGTGCCTCACAACCATCTATGGTAAGATTTGTTACCCTCTTCTGCCCTGCAAAAATACATGTAGGCAAACACATGTAATAAATAAATTTAAAAAAAAAAACAATTTTAGCTGGGCGTTGGTAGTACACGCCTTTGATCCCAGCACTCAGGTGGCATAGGCTGTCGGATCTCTGTGAGTTTGAAGCCAGCCTGGGCTACAGAATCCAAAGCAATACAGAGAAACCCTGTCTTAAAAAAAAAAAAAAAAAAAAAAAAAAAAAAAAAAAAAAAAAACCAAGCTAATTCTAAAAATCTCAGGTAAGAATGTAATTGGCTAAGCATGGATCTTGAGGGGAGGGGACACTAATGAAATGGCAGTTCTTCTCTTAACATTGAGAAGAAAGAGCATCTTGGAGCAGCCTTGATGGTCGGAGAGATGACTCAGTGGTTAAGAGTGCTTACTGCGAAACCACAAGGCCCTGAGTTCCAATCCCAGCCCCCAGGTAACAAGTCAGATGTAATCTAGCATTGCCTTGTAACCCCAGTGCTGGGATTATGGAGATGGGACCAAAAAGTCTTGCCAGCTGCCAGCCTAGCCAGAAGATGTGAGTGTAGGTTCAGAGGGAGACCTGCCTTAGAGGAGGGAGGCAGGGAATGAATGGGGATACTACCTTCGGCCTCTGCATGTATACATAGGTGTGTACACCTGCATACCTGTGCACACACAATTCTCTCTCTACACACACAATGACACAAAGAAATAAACAATGAATTGTAGACACATTTTCTTTAGAAGAGGAAGAAACAGAAGAAGGAGGAGGAGAAGGAGAAGGAAGGAGGAGGAGGAAGAAGAGAAGAAGAAGACAAAGAAGAAGGAGAAGAAGGAGAAGGAAGGAGGAGGAGGAAGAAGAGGAAGAAGAAGACAAAGAAGAAGGAGAAGGAGAAGGAGAAGGAAGGAGGAGGAGGAAGAAGAGGAAGAAGAAGACAAAGAAGAAGAAGGAGAAGGAGAAGAAGAAGAAGAAGAAGGAGAAGAAGAAGAAGGAGGAGGAGGAGGAGGAAGAGGAGGAGGAGGAGGAGAAGAAGCCGAAGAAGCCGAAGAAGCCGAAGAAGCCGAAGAAGCCTGCAACTGGTAGGAGGATGGTTACCGCAGGTACCCAAATAGGAGTGACACAGTCTGCACTGGAGAGATGCGGAGGAATGATGGGGGGGCCTGGGGGAACCCAAGACTAAGTTCTCAAAAGGCAGAGGTGAGAAACACCAAGGGTGAGATCACCATGCTCTCTACAGCTGAGGGATGGGGACAGCCTGACTGTGAACACGAAGGCTGTGCCCCACCCCTTGCCCCAGAGAGGAAGCCCCTCTTTCCCACATCTAGTGGTTATTTTTATGGATGGATTTATTTTTTACCCATTCTTGACCTCAACCCTGCAGCTGGAAGAAACAAGACACCAAGGCTTCTGGGTTTCTAGAAAACACAGGTTGTAGTGGCTGGGCCAGCCTGTGGCTTCCTCTAAAATCACCTGGAAAAGAAGTGAGAAGAGGAGAAAGGGGCTGTCCTTTTCTCTCAACACCCAGCCAAGAGAGAGCTCTACTTGAAGAGAAAAACCTATAGCCCCCATAGGCACCAGCATCCTGGCCCTCCAGCCCAGGCTGGGGACAGCAGAGCCGCTTTCCCTCACAACAGCCCTTCCTTTCACCTGGCCCACAGCCTACCTCCCTGTAGCCCAGAGAGCTTCAGGAGAGGGCCTTGCTTTCCGCCTACTAGCCAGCTATGACCAGGCATCACCCATAGCTCCTGGAGGCCAGACAGCCAAAGCACACTTCTGTTTCCTAGGACCACACCTAGGTCTACACTGCTATTCCCCCAAGATAAATTTACCAAAGAGTTAGGCAATGCCTCCTCCACCACTGCCGAAAGCTGAAAATATACTTTCATACATTTAAACAGCCATGGTAAAAAAAATGCAGCTGTCACTCACATAGGCGCTGGCATGTCAAACTGTTGCCATCCAGCCTGGAGTCTGGCAAGCTATTAACTCAGGTTCTGTCCAGTTGCCTCCTCCCGGTTTGGTTCCCATGTCTTTCCCAACAACTACTGTGTGCTCCTGACATTTTGGTAGGACCCACCACATCTAATAAGGTACCTTCTGTCTTTTGGTGAAATGCCTAGAGGGAGGAGAGAGACCAGAGGAGTTGGAGGTGTGGGGACATAAAGCCATCTTTGGTGTCTTCTAAGTGCCACGGGTGTGAGAGCTAAAATCCCAGGAAGAACTGCTGTTGAGGACATGCTCCTTGGTTTCTTTCAGCAGAGGATGCTTCTAAATTCTCTCCTTGCCTTGCAGCTGGGCCTCAGGAGGAAAGGCATGGGCAGGGCAGGGGCTGATCATGGATCTTGTTCCCACCGTAGACAGGTGACAGATAACCTCTTCTACAAAGAGGAAACTCCTGTGTTCTGGGCCCAACTGCTCCAAATGATCCCTTTACTTTTGCTTTACCTAGCTCTAAAATAGGATGTAGATGAGTTATTGAGAAATAGTAGAACATGTTCAGAGTGGTCATACATGTCTATGATCCCTGCACTTAGGCAGTAGAGGAGGATCAGGGCCAGCCTCAGCTACATCATGAGTTTGAGGCCAGCCTGAAATCCATGAGACTGTCCTCAGACACAAAACAAACAAAAAGAAATCAATGAGATTAGGAAGTAAAGTGGAAAGGACCAAGTGGTAGGAAGTTGGGAAGGGCTCTTGGTCTTCTAGGCTTCTTCTTGCACACAAGTCTTTGTTTATTTGTTGGGGACAGGCTCTTGTTTGTGGTGTAGTTATAGCTGGCCTGGCTCTCACCGTGTAGCCCAGGCTGGCTTCAAACTCCTAACAGTCCTTCTGTCTCAGCCTTCTGTTCGTTAGGATTACAGGTGTACTCTACCATGCCTGGATAGGTTTGGGAGCACTTTTGAAGCTCTATTCATAGGTTGGGGAGCCATGATAATCCCCTTCTTCCTGGTACAGGTATACAGTACTCTATGACCTGTGAGGCTGTGTTAGCCTGCCCTTCGTAAGCATGTAAACATGAGTGAGTGTGCCTGCTGCGGTAGGTGTGGGAATGCATCATCAATGGAGATGTGTTGTGTGAGACGATGGTGCATGTTTGTACTTGAAAGCCATAAGGTTCCATGCAAAAGCTATGGGTGGCACTGTTGCACAATGCTGGTGGGTGTGTGGCATGGGGTGTGATTAACAGTTTATAGGCTGTGTCTAAGTGTGTGTGTCTCGGTGTGTACACTCTAGGATGGAAATGTGTGACATAGTATGACACATAGTCTCTGGAATGGGTCTGATCTGACTTGCCCCTGAACCCTGGCTGTCGTTAACCAGATGTGTAACCTTGAGCAAGTCCCTCAATCTTTAATTTACTCGACCATGAAACGAGGACAGTAATGAGTACCTTTTGAGACTGCCACGAGGGCTAGAAACGATATTGTAGATGCAAAGGTTTGGGTGTACAGGCAGGCAGTCGTTCCGTGCCCTGTGGACATGCCTTTGGTTGGGTACACAAGCAAGAGAGAACGCGATATGACCTGTGTCTGAAGGGTGAGGAGACGGGTAAGTGTGCGAGCGCCCTGAGCAATTGTTTCGTCTTTGACAGTTCCCAGGGGCAGTAGGGCAGTTGCCCACAGCCTCCTGAGGTTTCCTGGTCCTGAGTCTAAATCAGTATGAGATTGAGAGGCCTGGAGGAGCTGCAGGAAGCAGAATGACTTGCAGACACTTCCTTTATTTCCCCCCCACACAGCAACGGTTGAAGACCGCTGCCCACATCCATTCCCACCTCCACCCACACCCACGCCTGCTCTGCTCCCCTTTCCACAAGTAAGAACCAGCGCTGGTAGAAACCCCAGAGGGCAGCGGATTCCCCCTACCCTTGCCCATTCCGCCTTAAGACGGACCAAGAAGCATCATCCCGCCGCGCCTTACACTCGGGCCACCTTAAGAGCTGAGCAATGCTTTGGCCTCCCGCCAAGCCCCACCCACGCCGGCTCGCGCTCCGCCCCTTTCTCCTCCCGCTCTGCTGGGGGAGAGCTGGGGAGCCCCAGTCTGGCAGGAGTTGGCTGGAGCTGTTGCCATGACAAGCATTTTCTTAAGACAGCTCTGCAGTTGAGACCGTCCTAGGCTGGGGGTGGGTGGGGTAGGGGCACGAACTTCCTGGGGGACCATCCCTCCGAAGACGGCGAGGTCAGGCACCCGCCCAGCTCCCTGCACCCATTTTCTTCCAGGAAGGTCCTTCGCGTGGAGAAGAGCTGGGGAAGAAGACCCAGCCCACTCCCCCAGCTGTAGCTCAAAGGCCAGCACCGCTAGGTGGTTTGCCACACTGGGGAGAGCGGTGGGTGGTCACCCCACCCTACTCGGCCCATGGAAACGCGGAGGGAGAGTCCCGCTCGGAGACACCTGAATCTTTGCTAGAAAGAGAGGTAGGTTTGCAGAGAATGAATTGACTCTGGGATTTGCAAACTTTGTTTCTTTCTTTCTTGTCAATGGCTTCTCAAACTATCCGAATTTCCTCATGCTAGCAAATCCTGGGAGGGTGGTGGAATAGGAGAGAGGCGGGGAGAGAAAAATGAGAATTTCTTCAACACCGTATTCTTCCCTGGGTTCTGAAGGATCATATAATCAAACAAGTGATCCCTTTGCGTTTTCCTCTGGATCATGGGATGGGTGGGGAAATGGAGGGACTGCTTTTTTCTCACCCAAACGAAGCTCTTGGAACAAGTATTTGTTCCAAGTATCCGCTCCTGCTCTCCCCCTCCCCCTCGGCTTGGGAACCAGCCGCAGAATGGAAAACTGTTGCGGAAAAAAAAAAAAATATTTTCCGCGTCTGTTCCCTTTCTCGAAAGCCCCAAAGAGAGATGGGAAAAATAGAACCAAATAAATCTTCAGCGGGAAGGCAGGCCTTAGCGCCGAGGAGGGGGCTCGCTGGGGGGGGGGGCGTAAGGTGGAGATAGGCTAGGAGAAGTTGGAAGGTGAGAACCAGGAGTGCACGAATCAAATGTCTTTGGCTTTGCATAGAAACCTCAGCAGTTTCTCTCTGCTGCTTACAAAACATCCTCAGACTTTGACGTCTATAATTAGCCGTGGAAAAAGCTGGGAGTTCCCTCTCGCTGCTGTTGTTTGAGTGAGCGTAAGCGTCCAGAACCAACTGTATGAGTGTCTCTGAGGGCCCCGCCCCGCATCTCTGCTTCTAAAGGGAAGGAAAGAGAAGGGACATGGTGAAAAGTTTTCAGTTTCAAGCCCCAGGCTGTGGGGATGGCTGGCTTGGGCCTCTGGCATCTTGGCAGGGTCCCTAAACAGATGGCTTAAGAGATAGACTCTAAGGCTGGGATTGCTCGCCTGGTTCTCCTCTGTCCCCGTTTTGGTAGTGCGGCCCGGCAGGCGGCACCTTTCCCTGAGATGAGTCCAGCCTGTACTCTGGCCCACCTCTAGGAGAATGCCTACTTGCTTCTTTCCAGCTGCGTGGGGGAGATGGGAGGAGGGGCCCAGCAAATCCGGGGAGCAGACAGAGCACGCCCTGGCTGGAGGCATCTTCTTCCTGGGTGCTCGTGCAGGGCTCGCAGTGCTCTGCAGATCGGATGCTAGCACGTGCTGGCCTGGCGGGGTGGTTGGGGTGTCAGGTGAAGAAATCAGGTGGTGGCTGTGACGCTGAGATAGGGAAAGAGGGGGGGGGGACAGATTCTCATCCTGCACGCCGCCGTCTCCTCCAGTTTGGGTGTCTGGCAGGGAGTCTTCAGATCCACCCCTTCCACGCTTGACACCCTACCCACCCACCCACATAGGCTCCCCCTGTTCCTGGCTCTTCCCACTTAAAAGACCCTTTCCTCCGGGACCTCCTTATGTGGAAGGGAGGCGACCAGGGTTATTCCAGGCTGGGATCAGCATGGCAAGGGGCCTCGGGGAGAAGAGAATTTCAAAAGAGGAGGGCCCTATGGTGTGGACAGGCTAGCTAAGTTATCTTCTGAGGCTTTGAGAAAAGCCTCGCTGAGGCCCTGGGGCAGATATAGAAGGAGAGTTTAAAAGGTAGCCCGAGAAGCCACCAGAGCAAGCTCTCCTTTGCAGGTGTTTGGTGATGGATCAGACTGTACCCCTTGGCTACTCTACCCTACCTGTGGCCTGATCCCAACAACAATCGATGCCCTTCTTCTGGAGGAAGGGGAGGCGGGAATCCTGGGGGAGGGGCAGATGGATACTGGTAGATAAGGATGGCTGCTGCCTGAAGTGGCTGCTTATATAGAGCACTAGGGTCCCTGTTCTGGTGGCTGTGTTTCCTGGGTCTTGGGCATCTGAGGAGACTGCTTTTCAGCCCAGCTGTACCCCACCTTTCCCAGCTGTGAGACCCACAGGGCTGGGAAGACTGTGGCAGAAGCTGGACCCCTCCCATCTCGCAGCCTCTCTGACCTGCCCTATCAGCAGCCCGGCTCCACCCTCCTGGCTGGCTCTGCTCTAGTCTGGGTACTCAGAGGAGAAAGGGCTTAGATGGAGCAGAGGCTTATAGCATTCCGGTCCCTGCTGGTACCTCAGTCCCTTCACTTCTATTTTCCATCTCCTTGTCCCTGGATCCTTGGATCCAAGGTCAAGTTGAAGGGGCTTAACTGACCTCATCCCCAAGATTCCCAGCTTCTAGCACAGTGCGGAGACAAATAGAGGCATTCTGTCAACACGTCAACACTTAGGAGAAGAAAGGGGGAACTTAATTAAAAAACAAAACATTTATTGGGGGATCACATCTGGAGGTCAGAGGACAATGTGTTGTTCTCTCTTTCCACTCTGCAAGTCCATGGGGACCAAACTCAGGTCATCAGAGGCTTCAAGGCAGGGGTCCTTACCCACAGATCCATCTTGCTAGTCCCAAGGGATGGAGCAATAGCAGCTGGGAATCAACTGCATGGGGAGGTGGGAAGGGGCGCCTAGTGTGCCCTCTGGCCTATAGCCCCTCCTGGCTCTGGGAACCCTGAGTCAGATTTGTCACATTGCTATGGTCTTTGATGTCAGAAGAGAGTCAAAAGGAGGGAACTATGTGTGTGTATGGGGGGGTGCAAACTAGAACACTCAGAGTCTGCCCAAGGCGTGACTCTGGGAGAAGTAAGGTGTGTGGGGAATGAAGGTCGGGAGCAGGAGTATCAGACAGCCTCACAACCCGCTCTCACTTTCCGTAAGATCTGGAGAGGCAGGGGACTGCTCTGCTAGCACTGACCCAGCCGCCACCCATCAGCAGCAGCTCCCACTCACACCTGAGACTATTCAATTGACTTCTCCCAGGACCCATGGCCCTTTGCTCTTTATCCATTTCTCTGGGCCTCTCGACCAGCACCCACATTAAGATCCTCTGAACTTCTGCAGGAGATGAGCAATATGTGTATTTGGGGTGCCTAGGGTCCTAAGAAGCAAATTTGATGCTGCTATGCAGGTAAACGCCCCACCCCCAGCCTGCCCTTCCTTGGAGGGATGTCTTGCAGGCCCCTCTGTGTTTCTTCCCTACAAGTGACTTCTCAGACATAACTGCTCACTGAGCCTACCACCTGCTCCTAGGAGGGCTTTGATTCCTTCTATCCCTACTCCCAGGAGGGAGGAAGGGGGAAAGGAAGACATGGAGGGGCATGCAGGCACCCTCTAAATACAACCTAACTGGGCTAACAGCATTTCTCCCCTTTTCTCTCTCTGGAAAAATGGAAAATATACTCAGTGTTTTAAATTGGCGCAGAGTACATATTTATAGATGCCATGTTTTGATATATGTACATACTATATAATGTTCAACTCAAATATCAAACATTTATCATTTCCTTGTGGTTAAAAAAAAAAAGTTGAAAGGTGTTTTTCAGGCAGCTTGTTAAGGGTGAACGGCGTGCTATCATTTTCTCCAGGCAAATCCTAGAACAGAACTTACTGCTCCTCTCCAACGCCAGCTAGGCGATGTCCATCACCTATCCCCACCCCTCCTCCCCAGCCTGGCAACCACCATTCCACTCCCAGCTCTGCAAAATCAGCCTTTCCAGATTCCACGCGAGGTCGTCTGCTACTTGTCTTGCTGTGTGTGGCTAGTTTTGCTTAACGAAGTGACCTCCAGCTCCTCCTCTGTTGTTGCAAATGACAGGTTTCCATTCTTCTTGTGCTGATACGTTTGCTGTGGGTCCCTCAGCTGATGGACACTTGGGCTATTGTGAATAGTGCTGCTGCCATAGACCCAGCAGGCAGACGTCTTTTTTTTTTATTATGATCTTATTTCCTCTGTATATACCCAGTAGTGGGATTTCTGGCAGTTCTGTTTTTAATTCTGTTTGTGTGGCACTGGGAACCGAACCTAGAACCTCTTGCATGCCAGGCAAGTGCTCCAGCTCAACTTTTCTTTTCTTTCTTTCTTTTTCTTTTTTTATTGTTTTGTTGGACCTGCCTAATGTCTTCCCTAATGAGTGTATTGTTTCCCCTTTTCTGTAGGTCATAGACATAAGTGTGCCCTGGGGCTAGAGTACTAGAGAGCTGTGCGGACTGTTTTATACTCTGCTTCCTCTCCCAGCATCTATTCGCGAGGATGAGCTGGTCTTGTTCCACTGACTTATTTTCTTCACACACAGAGATGACAAGGACTCTTCTGCCTCCTCCTTAAGTGACTTCAGCCCACATAGTAAATGTGGTGGAAGAGAGAAGCCAAGAAGGAAGTAGCTAGAGTCAGGTTGGAGTGGGGAGAGAAGAGGAAGGAGAGGAAAGGGGAGAAGAAGATAGGCAGGGAGGCACTGGGCCCCTGCCCCTCTGTCCTGGTCCTCATTCTGCTAAAGTGTCCGCTTCAGCTCTTTTCTCCTGGCTGACCAAGTGTCATGCACAAATACCAACAGTTTGGCATGGTATCAGCAAGGCCACCTTCTTCCTGCCTTCCTGCCATCACTTAGAGCGGGCACTGGCATTGAGGTGGCATGCTCACTGCTGGACATGTCCCGGACTCTGGGTTCAAAGGAATTCAGCGCAGGGCTCTACAGTGAGGTGCGGTCAGTTTGTAGAGTCAGTGTCAGGAGGGCAAAGACGTACAACCCCTAAAGGGAGGACACTTACAGTGTCTCACATTTACACAGCAGCCCGCCATTATCCCAAAGGTGCATACCCACAAATAAAGAAGCATGTGTGCATAAGGTGAGTCAGATTGTATTTGTAATAGGAAACCGTTGCAAACTGTCCTGCTGCCCATTCTTAAGAGTGTAGCTAAAGCTGGGTGTGATGGTGCACACCTGTAGTCCCAGCACTTATGAGGTTGAGGCAGAAGTGCTATGAATTCGAGGCCAGCCTGCAGTGCACAGCAAAACCTTGTCTCAAAAAAGAGGAAGGTGTGTGTGTGTGTGCATGTGTGCATGCATGGGTGTGCGCGCACACAAATAATAAATTGGAAATAAGAAAATGGTTTCCTATAGGAGGCAGATGGGACAGGAAATCA